CTATTTATCTTAGATACATGACTTACACATGAACTATTTATCTTAGATACATCACTTACACATGAACTATTTAACTTAGATACCTGACTTACACATGAACTATTTATCTTAGATACATGATGTACACTTTAACTATTTATCTTATATACCTGACTTACACATGAACTATTTATCTTAGATACATGACTTACACATGAACTATTTAACTTTAGATACATCACTTACACATGAACTATTTATCTTAGATACATCACTTACACATGAACTATTTAACTTAGATACATGACTTACACATGAACTATTTAACTTAGATACATGACACACACATGAACTATTTAACTTAGATACATGACTTACACATGGACTATTTAACTTAGATACATCACTTACACATGAACTATTCAACTTGGATACATGACTAACACATGAACTATTTATCTTAGATACATGACTTACACATGAACTATTTAACTTAGATACATGACTTTACAAATGAACTATTTATCTTATATATATCTCTTGTACATGAACTATTTAACTTTAGATACCTAACTTACACATGAACTATTTATCTTAGATACATGACTTACACATGAACTATTTAACTTTAGATACATGACTTACACATGGACTATTTAACTTAGATACATCACTTACACATGGACTATTTAACTTAGATACCTGACTTACAAATGAACTATTTATCTTAGATACATGACTCACACATGAACTATTTAACTTAGATACATGACTTTACACATGAACTATTTATCTTACATATATCTCTTGTACATGAACTATTTAACTTTAGATACCTGACTTACACATGAACTATTTATCTTAGATACATGACTTACACATGAACTAATTAACTTGGATACATCACTTACATATGAACTATTTAACTTAGATACATCACTTACACATGGACTATTTAACTTAGATACATGACTTACACATGAACTATTTAACTTAGATACATGACTTACACATGAACTATTTAACTTAGATACATGACTTACACATGAACTATTTAACTTAGATACATCACTTACACATGAACTATTTATCTTAGATACATCACTTAGACATGAACTATTTAACTTAGATACATCACTTACACATGAACTATTTAACCTTAGATACCTGATTTACACATGAACTATTTAACTTTAGATACATCACTTACACATGAACTATTTAACTTTAGATATATGACTTACACATGAACTATTTATCTGCACATGACTTACACATGAACTATTTAACTTAGATACATCACTTAAACATGAACTATTTATTGTAGATACAAGACTTACACATGAACTATTTAACTTTAGATACATCACTTACACATGGACTATTTAACTTTAGATACATCACTTACACATGAACTATTTAACTTTAGATATATGACTTACACATGAACTATTTATCTGCACATGACTTACACATGAACTATTTAACTTAGATACATCACTTACACATGAACTATTTATCTTAGATACATCACTTACACATGAACTATTTATCTTAGATACATCACTTACACATGAACTATTTAACTTAGATACATCACTTATACATGAACTATTTATCTTAGATACATCACTTAAACATGAACTATTTAACTTTAGATACATCACTTAAACATGAACTATTTATTGTAGATAACATCAGTACCTAAGTTCTGGGATTATATGAGAGTTAAAGCATTACCAGGTTTGGATGATATAAAAAATGGAGACAAAACAGTAGAAACCCATGGAGATGATTTCTTTCTGGTTGGACCATATAGACTGAGACAACTTAGAGTCCAAGAAGGTAAACTTTTGTACTTTCGATATTGTCTTTAAATATTTCAGATATCATCATGATTATCCAATGTATATCTTAAGTTTCAGAAGACCCTTTTTCAGAATTTTATTAGGTGACCCTTGACTTCTTATCAAAAGGCCACTATCATTATTAAAAGAAATTTTACCCAAACAATAATGTGAAATTCAGTTGATATCACCTTTTTAGCTCGATGTCCATATGGGCTATGTGAGAGCTATTGCTATCATTTTGGTACTTTGTCATATTTAACTTTTTTTCAAATCTCCTGAAACCACCAGACCTTGAAGTGATTGGTCCTTATGGTATGTAGTATAAAGTTTGTTGTATTTGTTAAAGTAATCAGCCAACATTGACGAAATGGCTTAAAATTGAAAATAAGGGTAAAATACAATTATATTGTCTAATATCTGAAAATACAATTATATTGTTTAATATCTGAAAATACAATTATATTGTCTAATATCTGAAAATACAATTATATTGTCTAATATCTGAAAATACAATTATATTGTCTAATATCTGAAAATAAGGCTTAAATACAATTATATTGTCTAATATCTGAAAATACAATTATATTGTCTAATATCTGAAATTACAATTATATTGTCTAATATCTGAAAATACAATTATATTGTCTAATATCTGAAAATACAATTATATTGTCTAATATCTGAAAATAAGGGTAAAATACAATTATATTGTCTAATATCTGAAAATACAATTATATTGTCTAATATCTGAAAATACAATTATATTGTCTAATATCTGAAAATAAGGGTAAAATACAATTATATTGTCTAATATCTGAAAATACAATTATATTGTCTAATATCTGAAAATACAATTATATTGTCTAATATCTGAAAATACAATTATATTGTCTAATATCTGAAAATACAATTATATTGTCTAATATCTGAAAATAAGGCTTAAATACAATTATATTGTCTAATATCTGAAAATACAATTATATTGTCTAATATCTGAAATTACAATTATATTGTCTAATATCTGAAAATACAATTATATTGTCTAATATCTGAAAATACAATTATATTGTCTAATATCTGAAAATAAGGGTAAAATACAATTATATTGTCTAATATCTGAAAATACAATTATATTGTCTAATATCTGAAAATACAATTATATTGTCTAATATCTGAAAATACAATTATATTGTCTAATATCTGAAAATACAATTATATTGTCTAATATCTGAAAATAAGGCTAAAATACAATTATATTGTCTAATATCTGAAAATACAATTATATTGTCTAATATCTGAAAATACAATTATATTGTCTAATATCTGAAAATACAATTATATTGTCTAATATCTTAAAAATCATAATAAATAGGGATGATCAAATATGGGTATAAATGCTCTGACAGCATGACAAGATCTACTTGCTATCTGTTTCTATGAAAATTATCAAGACAATCCTTTTCAGGTGTTTTCTGTTTTATGATAATTTTTGATAAATTTTAAATCTTTTTCTCTTATCATCTCGAAAACAGATAGGTAGAAACTGTCATCAGTAAAAATGATCATCAAGACAAGAACTGGAAAATAGTTAAAATGACTAAAGTCATTGGATGACTCTTTTTACGTGTTATTGTCCTTAAATGAAGAAAGTAGATTTAATTCAAGCTTACATACTTTTTTATCTTTCCAGATACTTGTCCTACACCAGAATATATAAGAAAAGCATTCTCTTTAACTGTGGAATGTTCAGACAAATATTGGCTTGGCAATGAGGATACCAAACACTACAACCAAACCTGGAACCAGACCAATACAATGGCTCCTCTCACAGCTGATCACTGGACCTACCAGACAGCATGGCAGCTTAGAACCATTCCTTATACTGGTACCCAGACCACATACAGTGGTGGTGGATATGTCAAAGAGATTATCCCTAGCCCCATGTCACAACAGACACTGGACAAATTAATGACTGATGGTTGGATAGATGGAAGAACTAGTGCAATTTTTGTGGAATTTACTTTGTATAATCCTAATGTCAATATGTTTAGTGTAGTCATGTTCCTGTTTGAATTTTCTGCAAATCGTGGAATTTTTCCATTTTTTCAGATTTTTACCACTAAGTTATATCACTATGGTGACAGTACTGAGATTGCTGCAGCAGTTTGTGAGGTTTTATTTGCCTTTTTCACTGTTATTTTTACATACTACGAAGGGAAAAAATTTAAAAGAATGGGTTATAGATATTATTTCACTTATTTCTGGAATTTGATTGAGTTTCTAGTGATATGTCTGTGTTACAGTGTTATAGGTCTGTTTTTCCAGAGAATGGTAACAATAACATGGATAATGGATAAATATAAACAGTCCAATAGACAGGAGTTTGTCAGTTTTTACTCTGCTGTATGGTGGGATTTTATACAGTTATACCTAATGGCATTTCTTGTATTCCTTATCATTATAAAATTTCTAAAAATTCTGTCATTGAATCAAAACATGCAGTTGTTATCCATTACCTTAAACTATGCCAAGGAATCACTTTGTAATTTTTCTGTTCTGATTTTTGTTTTAATCTTTGCTTTTGGCCACTTTGCTCTTCTGGTATTTGGACATGTCTCTCCGAATTACAAGGGAGTTCCAAGTTGTATTTTGACATTATTTAATTTTGCCATTGGTGTTTCTGACTATTATGGTCTCCAGTGTGCCCATAGGATTCTGGGTCCTATATTTTTCTTTCTTTTTGTTTTAGCTGTAATATTTATATATCTTACAGTATTCATGTCTATTTTCAATTTTGCCATTACAAAAACCAAGGAAGAAAAGGGGAAAAAGAAGAATGAGTTAGAAGTTGTTAATTACCTTCTTACTAGGTTAGCTAATATTTTACCTGTAGAGCTTGCTGCTAGAATGAAAGTGAAACATGAAAACTAATACTTAATTTAGCCTTAAAACTGTAATTTTTTATTGTATTAAAATAATGTTTGTTACTTGCGTTAAAAATAAATAAAGAGCTGCTGAACCAACGCCTCCTATGTTTTGTGCTGGTAGAGTTCCCTTGATGGTATGCAGGGTTGTCAAATGAAAAAATCAAATACCGCTACATTGACAACAACACTTAAGTAAACTGCATCTTTTATTGTAAAAGATGCAGTTTACTTAAGTGTTGTTGTCAATGTAGCGGTATTTGTGTTAAAAATGTTTAACATTCTTAAGATTTTAAGATCAAGTATGCTTACAATTGTATTATTATTATATTTAAATTACCTATAAATGGAAATATCTGTAATTTGTTAACTATTCTGTGTTAGGAAACATCATTATACTTGGAATAATTATGATTACAATAAGGTAATTTTGTAAAATAAATCTAAATTTAGTATTTTTTTGTTTGTTCATGTATCGTGTGATAAAATCATTAGAAATCATAAACTGACATTGAACCGTGTTGTTGTATTAAAGTAAGATAATTAGGCTTCCAATGTTAGACTTACTTTTAATCTTAACTTATTATTGATCATGTGATTATTTGTCATTTATAGACAATGATTTTAAGATAACTTTTATTTTTTGGGGTAAAGATTGCACGAAATGCAATCAAAATTCTATGATACTGACTTGATATCTATATCTTCCAAGGTTTATCACTACCTTTAATAATTCAAACAAAATAGTGCAGTTAAGTGATCATTATTAAGATCCTATCCAGTCAATGTTATGCAATTTATTGATGATATGTTATACTTTGATATTTATGTAATAATATGATGTGTATTTCAATTGCAATACTTGTCAAAAGAACATTTTTTATTAAAAATTAAATAAGTAATGCATGGTGTATGAATCTGTTATAAAGATAGGTTCAACTACAAATGTAAAAAGGAAGATAACTCCCAACTAAATATTTTGATTTGCCTAGCAAAATACAATTTGATATTTTATTATTGCAAAATGAAAGTAATCTTTACCCTTCATTGATTATTTTATGCCAGAAATCATTGATACAAATTTTAAATTTAAGTCATAAGGATTTAGTATTGACTTCAGTAAGAATAAAGTTGAGTGGTTATTGGAATATTAGAGGTGTTTGTCCACTGTCTTATTGGAATATCAGAGGTGTCTGTCCACTGTCTTGTTGGAATATCAAAGGTGTTTGTCCACTGTCTTATTGGAATATCAGAGGTGTTTGTCCACTGTCTTATTGGAATATCAGAGGTGTTTGTCCACTGTCTTATTGGAATATCAGAGGTGTTTGTCCACTGTCTTATTGAAATATCAGAGGTGTTTGTCCACTGTCTGTTTTCAGAAATTACCAGAAATACAGCCTTATAAAGTGTGTCGTTACATCGCTGTCCTAGGAGGGGAGGCACCACAGACATATTCAACCCACAATATTCTATATATACCTGTTCCAAGTCAGGAACCTATAATTCAGTAGTTGTTGTTTGTGGCTTTATATCATATTTCATTTACAGTTATGTACATAAACCAGGTTGTTTAATCATTTGTTTGAATTGTTTTGTTATGTTGAAGCTTGTTATAACATCAATGTCAGTGGTCTCTAGTGGAAAGTTTTCTCATTGGCAATCATACCTTATCTTATTTTTATTAGAATTTGATTTGTAGATGCATTTTGAACAGACTGGCTAGTTTAACTAGGGTAAAGATCAATTGACTCATATTTTCTAGCTCACCTGGCCCAAAGGGCCAAGTGAGCTTTTCTCATCACTTGGCGTCCGTCGTCGTTAGCTTTTACAAAAATCTTCTCCTCTGAAACCACTGTGCCAAATTTAACCAAACTTGGCCACAATCATCATTAGGGTATCTAGTTTAAAAAATGTGTCCGATGACCCTGCTTACCATCCAAGATGGCTGCAACGGCTAAAAATAGAACATAGGGGTAAAATGTAGATTTTGGCTTATATCTCTGAAACCAAAGCATTTAGAGTAAATCTGACATAGGGTAAAACTGATTATCAGGTCAAGATCTATCTGCCCTGAAATTGTCAGACAAATCTGACAACCCATTGTTGGGTTGCTGCCCCTGAATTGGTAATTTTAAGGAAATTTTGCAGTTTTTGGTTATTATCTTGAATATTATTATAGATAGAGATAAACTGTAAACAGCAATAATGTTCAGCAAAGTAAGATCTACAAATAAGTTGTCAATGACCAAAATTGTCAGTCGACCCCTTTAGGAGTTATTGCCCTTTATAGTCAATTTTTAACAATTTTTCGTAAATTTTTGTAATCTTTTACAAAAATCTTCTTCTCTGAAACTACTGAGACAAATTTAACCATACTTGGCCATAATCATTATTAAGGTATTTAGTTTAAAAAATTTGTCCGATGACCCCAACTTCCAACCATCATGGCCGACATGGTTAGAAATAGAACATTGGGGTAAAATGCAGTTTTTGGTTTATATCTCTGAAACTAAAGCATTTAGAGCAAATCTGACAGGTTGCAAAAATGTTCATCAGATTTAGATTTATCTGCCCTGAAATTTTCAGACTAATCCGACAACCCGTTGTTGGGTTGCGGCCCCTGAGTTAGTAAATTTACAGAAATTTTGCAGTTTTTAGTTATTATCTTAGATATCATTATAATATCTAATATCTAATACTATTAATTATGATTTTAACCTTATTTTACATGATTTCCAAAGCATCAGTAAATACAGGTGAGCGACACAGGCTCTTGAGAGCCTCTAGTTATAATATTCAATGGCTTTGGTTAAATTTTTGGCTCTATTACTTTTATAAATTTTTACATCCATGTTCAGTAGTTTTCATTTGAACTTCATTGATTTCAACTAAGTTTAACATCCCATTTTACATCAAACATACCAAAATCATATAACTTTGTGTTAACATAATGAAACATCTAGGAGAGAATAATTGTATCTCACAAAAAGTAGCTTACTCTTTAAGGATTTAAGTTTCACTGACTTGTATTTATTTTTATGTCCAAGCTTTGTGAAAAATAAAAATGTGTCTGACAGGGTATGAAACTGCAAATGAAAAAAAAAGGTTTCTTTGACCTATATTATTATCATATATATATATTTAAAAGGTTTATTGTTATATTTATTGTTTCAGGACTTTTAATTATCTCAGTTTGAGTTGTTTTTTGTTTTTTTTTATCTTGTTTTGTTTTATTGTAAATTGAACTTTTAAAATTAAATAAAAGTGCCAAGTTTTAATGTTTATGTAATGGAGTACTGATGTTTGGTAATGACTTTCAAGTTATTTCCTAGCAACAACGTGTACTATACTTAACAGTTATTTCTTATCATAGAATCATATGTGCTGGGGTTTTTTATTTTAGCTCATCTGACCAAAAAGGCAATGCTCAGCTTTTGCCATCAATTTTCATCCATCATAAACTGTTTTTATACGTCCTTGAAAGAGGAGACATATTATGGTATATAAAAGTCTGTTTGTCTGTCTGTAAACACATTATAAAATAACTCGAATTTGGATTGATTTCCTCAAAACTTTACATTATTGTTGGGATTAATAAAAGGAGCTCCCTTTCAATTTCTTATGCTGTACCATAAATTGAGTTTGCTTGGATTTATTTACTGGAATTTTTAAATAATTGTTGGAATTGGTGAACATAACATACTGTTCAATTTTTAAAAATCCTGATTTGCATTCCAGAGTTATGGGACTTTGACCATCAGATAAATAAAATGCTTTTTGTCGAGCCTGCGACTTTTGTTGCAGAAAGCTCGACATAGGCGTAGTGATCCGGCGGCGGCGGCGGCGGCGTTAGCTAACTTCTTAAAAGCTTTATATTTTAGAAGGTGGAAGACCTGGATGCTTCATACTTTGTATATGGATGCCTCATGTTACGAAGTTTCCGTCAGTCACATGTCCAATGTCCTTGATCTCATTTTCATGGTTCAGTGACTACTTGAAAAAAAAGTTCAGATTTTTTGTAATGTTAGATTCTCTCTTATTATAAGTAATAGGATAACTATATTTGGTATGTGCGTACCTTGCAAGGTCCTCATGCCCGTCAGACAGTTTTCACTTGACCTCAACCTCATTTCATGGATCAGTGAACAAGGTTAAGTTTTGGTGGTCAAGTCCATATCTCAGATACTATAAGCAATAGGTCTTGTATATTCGGTGTATGGAAGGACTGTAAGGTGTACATGTCCAACTGGCAGGTGTCATCTGACCTTGACCTCATTTTCATGGTTCAGTGGTTATAGTTAAGTTTTTGTGTTTTGGTCTATTTTTCTTATACTGTATGCCATAGGTCTACTTTATTTGGTGTATGGAATGATTGTAAGGTGTACATGTCTAGCGGGCAGGTGTCATCTGACCTTGACCTCATTTTCATGGTTCAGTGGTCAAAGTTAAGTTTTTGAGTTTTGGTCTTTTTTTCTAATACTATATGCAATAGTTCAACTATATTTGGTATGTGCGTACCTTACAAGGTCCTCATGCCCGTCAGACAGTTTTCACTTGACCTCGACCTCATTTTATGGATCAGTGAACAAGGTTAAGTTTTGGTGGTAAAGTCCATATCTCAGATACTATAAGCAATAGGTCTTGTATATTCGGTGTATTGAAGGACTGTAAGGTGTACATGTCCAACTGGCAGGTGTCATCTGACCTTGACCTCATTTTCATGGTTCAGTGGTTATAGTTAAGTTTTTGTGTTTTGGTCTGTTTTTCTTATACTGTATGCCATAGGTCTACTTTATTTGGTGTATGGAAATACTTTATGATCTATTTGGCAGTCACACAGGTTTTATTTGACCTTGACCTCATTTTCAAGGTTCATTGCTCAGTGTTAAGTTTTTGTGTTTTGGTCTGTTTTTCTTAAACTATAAGCAATAGGTCAACTATATTTGTTGTATGGAAGAATTGTTAGCTGTACATGCCTGCCTAGCATGGTTCATCTGACCTTGACTTCATTTTCATGGTTCATTGGTCAATGTTTAGTTTACTTGGTTAATGTTAAGTTTATGTGACAGTTGTAATAAAGCTTTATATTTAGGACTATCAACATAATATCAATGATTAGTAAAGAAGGCGAGACATTTCAGCGTGTGCACTCTTGTTTTTTTTAAATGTCATGCACTAGCTCTAGTATAGTATACTTGGATCAAATTACTACAAACTCAACACTGATGATGGGATTGGTGAATGTAGACTTGCTTTTGATTTTGAACATTTTCTGGGTTGTCATTCCAAGACGAACGGTTGCCACAGGAGGAGCACGATCTGCCTACCCTTCCGGAGCACCTGAAATCACCCAAAAGTTATTGGTGGAAATTGTGTTGATCAGTATTTAGTTTTCTTTGATGTGTTTTGTAGACTCTTGTATGTCTTCTTTTTTTTTCTTACCATGACATTATCAGTCTACTATCTTTTTAAAAATATAGTAGATATAAATAGTCACAGCAAAAATAATGATAATAAAAAAACAAGATCTACAAATTAAACACTATGACTGAAACTGTCAATCATCTCCTTATAGAAATTCATGCCCTTGAATGATTATTTATTTAGTATGGATGGTTTTTTTTTTCGGCTTTTATCTTGAGAACTATACTAGTCAAAAAAAGAAAAGATACAAGGCAATGTATTTTTCATATACATTGTATAATGAAATTTGATACACTGTACCAAGGTAAATAATTGCCCAATTCGTCTAATATTTACAGAGTGTTATTTTCTTATCAAAACCATTGATTTAAGGCAATTTTTTTGTTGCAATTTTTGTTTTTTCGAAAATCATATTTTCACCCAAAAATTTAAAAATCGATGGTAGAACTTCAGACTTTAAACTTAAACATGATCTGCTTAAAATTTTGAATGCCTTTGCAGATATTTGAATACTTATTTCTCATCTTTGAAATTCAGTGCTGACTTTTGTTATCATTTTCCGCAAAATAAATTTGACCCCTGTGTTCAATAACACTGTATTTTCTCATTTTCCACTTTGGTCAGATTCTTTTAGTCACATGCATTTGCTTTACAAATGAATGTTTTTCATTGGATAATGTAACAGTTTTTCTTATTTCTTATATTTTATGATAAATTGGAGTTCAAATCGTTACATTTGTTGACTAGTTTACAATAGAAAGAGAAACTGATCAGTGTTTTATCATTTTCATAGGGGGGGAGGGGGCAATTATCTCAAAAAGTATTATAATTAAAGAGAAACTGTAAGAGAATATTTACAAGAAAATGAGGTGATGGAAACAATCAAATGACTCCTTTTTTGGGGTTACAGTCCTTAGATATAAATTTGAAAATATTTATTAAATTATTCTCCATTTGGATTTGGTTTAAACTTGGTCAAAATCTTCCTCAGTGTGAAAGATGGCTGCCACAGTTTCTAATGATGTTAATTTTGCATATTTAGCTCACCGGGCCCGAAGGGCCCCCTGTGAGCTTATGCCATCACTTGGCGTCCGTCGTCGTCCGTCGTCTGTCGTCGTAAACTATTTCAAAAATCTTCTCCTCTGAAACTACTGGGCCAATTACCTTCAAACTTTAACTAAATGTTCCTTAGGATATCTTGTTGATAATGTGTATCCGAAGTTTGTTTCCATCGACAAACATGGCCGCTATGGATAAAAATAGAACATAAGGGTCAAATGCAGTTTTTGGCTTATATCTCAAAAACTAAATCTTTTAGAGCAAATGTGACGGGGTAAAATTGTTTAATTGGTCAAGATCTATCGTCCCTGAAATTTTCAGACGAATCGAACAACCCATTGTTGGGTTGCTGCCACCTAATTAGTAGTTTTTAACAAAATTTTGCATTTTTTTGTTATTATTTTGAATATTATTATAGATATATATAATCTGTTAGCAGCAATAATGTTCAACAAAGTAAGATTTACAAAAAAGTTAATATGACCATAATTGTCAATTGACCCCTTAAGGAGTTATTGCCCTTTAAAGACAATTTTACACAATTTGTTCATCAACTTTGCTAACATTTAAAAATCTTCTCCTCTGAAACTACTGGGCCAATTACCTTTAAAATTTAACTAAATGTTCCTTAGGGTATCTTGTTTTAAAATTGTATCCGAAGTTTCTTTCCATCGACAAACATGGCCGCCATGGCTAAAAATTGAACATAAGGGTCAAATGCAGTTTTTGGCTTATATCTCAAAAACTAAATCTTTTAGAGCAAATATGACATGGGGTAAAATTGTTTAATTGGTCAAGATCTATCGGCCCTGAAATTATCAGACGAATTGAACAACCCAATGTTGGGTTGCTGCCACCGAATTGGTAGTTTTAACAAAATTTTGCAGTTTTTTGTTATTATTTTGAATATTATTATAGATATACATAAACTGTAAGCAGCAATAATGTTCAGTAAAGTAAGATCTACAAAAAAGTTAATATGACCAAAATTGTCAATTGACCCCTTAAGGAGTTATTGCCCTTTAAAGACAATTTTACACAATTTGTTCATCAAGTTTGCCAACATTTAAAAAACTTCTCTGAAATACAGGTGAGCGATTCAGGCTCTTGAGAGCCTCTTGTTTTGTAATGTGAGCAATTCAGGCTCATGGGAGCCTCTAGTATTTGTTTAATGGTCTCTGTGTTTTAATTATTTGTTATTTAGATATATTTATTATCTTTTACTGTAAGTTGACAAGTTTTGAATTGAATTAAAGTGTTTACTTTTAATGTTTATTTAATTTTGTAGCCAGTTAATGACTAAAGTTTCCTAGCAACAACAAAAGTTAAGTGTACTGTACCTCTAGTTATTTCACCAAAGACCTATTGTTTTTTTCTGATTCTTCTTGTTTTCTTTCAGTCATTTTTTCACTCTTAATTTTGAATCCTCTGAACATTTAGTATGGAGGTGTATGGGGTGTGGTATCGTGACATTTGACCTAAAGGTAAAATAATGATTTTTGTGTGTGTGTCAATTTCCTGCCCTATTTATAACTGTTTTATGCTCTGTTTATGACAGGGGCATTCGTCAGTTCATCCATCCCTTAACAGTTTTTGAAGGGTATAAAAATAGATATGGTATGATTGCCAATGAGACAACTCTCCATCATGTAGTTAAACATGAAGTTGTGGTCTAGTCTGAACTGAACATGGTGTCCTATGGACATATATTCTGTTTTCCTTTGACCTAGAGTTTTGGTAATTGGCAGGTGGATGCATCACCTCAAGACGATGTGTTGTGTACCATTGCAGATCA